TGATGAAAATTATTATTCAAATGTTATGACAATATCTAAAGATCCCCTTGAACACACACAAAAATTTTCATCAAAATCGGTCCAGTCGTTTAAGAGAAGTTCAGTGACATACACACTCACAGAAGAATTATATATATAAAGATAGGGCATAGCGAATTTTCCGCTAGGATTAGAACGCCCGCAGTACATTTTACTTGCGTTTCTGTCGGTCAGTATGGCCACAAAAAGAGAAACACGTACCTAAACCTTTTATTTTTTTTTTGCCTAAAGAGTAGGACACGGCATTCCTAAACTTTGTTAAACCAGTTTTTTATATTTTTTTATTTTACAGTCATATTTTTTATATTATTTGCATTTGTAATGGAAAGTGACTTTATGAGTTACCTCATACTGAAGTCATTTTTCAATTTGACGACTCTGTATATAATATAGGGAGAAAAAAAACAGTCCTTGCTGAGTTTCTTGCCGGTTCTTCTCAGTACAAGGTCTCCCGCCGTAGATTTGCGAACCGATGGCGTAGCTTTTCGACATTCACAAGTGCTTGTAACAGCCTAGAATGAATAAACGATATTGAATTTTGAATTTTTTTTTTTTTGAATTGAATACTTAAAAAACCTATGAAAAACCTCATCCCTTTTTTTCGTCGTAGAAGAATAAACACGCGACTTGAAAACCTATTTGGAAGTCCGTCAATCAGAGTAAAGAAAGCACAAAAAAGGTACTTACCCGTCACAGGGCTCCGGTGGTCGGAAACAAAGCTTCTGATTACGTTATCGGAACCTTTTATACCGGCCCGTATCAGGCCCTAAACGTTGCGATCAATACCTTTATCAGAGAAGTTGACCAAACAAACATTACTGTCACCGATTTTAACCGACGTACGTAATCGAAATCCATAATTTTATTATAGATCTATCAACATCATCAGCCTATTAATGTTTCCATTGCGGGGTCTAGGCTTGCCAGATGGCCGGGAAATCCGGGATTGTCCCGCAATTTTGCATCTTATCCCGTGTCCAGTTATTAGACCTTCATCATCAGCCTATTAATGTCCCCACTGCTGGGGCACAGGCCTTCCCTATGGATGGAATAGGGAGATTGGGCCATGACCCACCACGCGGGCCCAGTGCGGATTGGTGGGTGCTAACGACTGCAGATGCAGCCGGGACCAACGGCTTAACGTGCCTTCCGAAGCACGGAGGAGCTCGAGATAGTAAATTTTTGGTCACCCATCCAATGACCGACCACTGCGAAAGTTGCTTAACTTCAACGATCGCAGCCGAACGCGCTAGCCACCTGCGCCATCGAGCTCCTCCATTATTAGACCTTATTGTCCCAGATTTCAGTGATATGCTAGTTTCACCGCTGGCCTGTTGATGTTTTAATTCACGACCACCCTCCTGATGGGGGGTTTCATTTGATGCTGGAAAGTGACTTCATGGGTTATCTCATATTGAACTCATTTTTCAAATTGACGACTCTGTATATAATACAGGGAGAAAAAAACAGCCCTTGCTGAGTTTCTTGCCGGTTCTTCTCAGTACAAGGTCTCCCGCCGTAGATTTGCGAACCGATGGCGTAGCTTTTCGACATTCACAAGTGCTTGTAACAGCCTAGACTGAATAAATGATATTGAATTTTGAATTTTTTTTTTTGCTTAATTTTTTCAGAGAGGGAGGGGTGCAAGTGTCCCGAAATTGATAAGCCAGCATCTGGCAACCGTAGCTGGGGCACAGGCCTTCCCTATGGATGGAAGAGAGAGATTGGTCCATGAACCACCACGCGGATTAGAAGGTGCTAACGACTGCAGATGCAGCACGGAATAACGGTTAAACGTACCTTCCGAAGCTCGGAGGAACTCGAGATAGAGGATTTTTGGTCACCCATCCAATGAGCGACCACTGCGAAAGTTGCTTCACTTCAACGATCACAGTCGGACGCGCTAATCACTTGCACCATCGAGCTCAAATTATAAAGAAATTCCTTTATTACCCTCAAGCAATAAAATATCCCTAACACCCACACCAATTAGCCTAGCCCCAAAGTAAGCACTGTAAGGCTTGTGTTATGAGATGCTAGTGTAACGGATAGAATACATATACTGTACATATATAAGTATATTTATATAGAAATAAATATTTTACATCCATGACTGGAGTAAAAATGCTCGTGTTCATCACACAAACATTTGCCCCCACCGGATTCGAACCCGGGACCTCTCGAGTCGGCGACACCATGAAACCCGGCGTACAAACCACTCGGCCACGGAGGTCGTCATCGAAATCGCTCTTATCTCCCAAGTTAGACACTAAATCAATAAAAAAAGGGTGTTTTGAAAACTAGACATAATAAATTATAAAGTCATCGTATTTTTTCATTTATTTTTTTTCGTTTAAATAACAAAAAATGTACTTAAAAAATTATTAGTACAGCTGTCCGTTGGTCTGTGCACTTGTTTGTCTGCACGTTTTAGAAAAAATATACGCAATTAATTGCAATAAATTCTTTTGAATTAATTTCCACTTATACTGAGGATGAACCTTATCATGATTGAACTGATAACCGTTTTTAAGATTTAAATGAAATTCAATGGAATTTATTTACTGGGTTTCTGTTTCGTGAATGTGAGGTGTGCACTTTTGGATTTTACAATCTTTTCTTCTTCTGCCTTGAAATTTTATTCAAAACTGCCTAGCCTAGGAGATGGTACGAAATCCTTCGTCACGTGCGAGTTCGACACACACTTGACCGTTTATCTTTTTTCTTTCGCTACTTCTTTTTATGACTTCCCCGGTGCCTCCATAAATACTCCATAAATTTAGATTGTTACGCAGATGCATTCCCAGCCGATTAACATAGGTCAAATTCGGTGCAACAACATAAATATTTATCGTTTCCTGCGATTTCCGATTTACGGATATGCACAATTTACATAAGTTTTTTCAAACACATAAAATATATCGAGTACTCTCATTTACATATTCGATTAATAAGAATATTTGTGGGTAAATAATTTTTAAAGGACAATGGGCAAAACACACCCAGCTCCGCCAACAATGTAATTAGTATGAATCGATAGATCTATGAAAAACTAGCCTTTTTATTATGACACCGTAAAAAAATATCCTGCGAGTCAAAAGATATGACACCGTAAAAAATATCCTGGTACCTCAAAAAATATGGGCATATTTAAGTAGTTAAATAAATTCATTTTATAGTACCTTTATTTTATATTATTAGTAACCATATAAGTTTTGTCAAACCCTTGAACCTTGTGAAGTACTCCCATAATACCTGAGCCCCCTATGTAGTGTCGAATTAACTAAATGAATTCCCTTGTTTCATTAATGTTCGTTCGTCATAGTACTTGTACCTACTTAACTTAAAATAACTAAAGACCCCCGGGATGGAATTTGATGCGCTTTGGCACAAATGATCATGACTATAATACCTTTCAAACAAATGTAGTTTAAGCCGTGGCGGACGTGGGTGCAGCGTCCATACATTTTTGCCCAATGTCCTTTGATTTACTTGGTGTGGCAACTTTCTGAATGCATGGATTTAAGAATAGGGACGATGAGTAACTTTTTTTCTCTTCATGTATAAGGTAGATAATCAAAAAGCATTGGATACCTACGTATTTTTTCTCTATTCACATAATCAAAACATTACAAAGGTATATTGATTTGAAATATCGCATGATGTCTTGGTACAATTTTTACTTAGACGTGACGTCACAAAGTCACAAGCTCGCACTCCCAAACTTTGATACGCTTTGTCTTCGTAATTTTTTTGGTTGATTGACAAAAGAAAAACGTGTCGATTATTTTTTGATTATTGAACTGGACGGACTAAATATAATTTAGTTTACATGACTTATTCAAAAAATGCCCCAAATTTCAATTTTACCACTATTGCATGGCGTAAAAATAAATAATTTTCAAACCAGAATACATAAGTGCTGATATTATTATATTTTAATTAAATATAAATTTATTTCAAATGATTACAGCATTTATAAATCGATGTTAATGTAAATATGAAAGTCAATGTTCAATTAAGCTATTTTTTTTAAAGTACATTTGTAATTTACATAATACATTGTTTATCCTACTAATATTGTAAATGTAAAAGTTTGTATGTTTGTTACTCGATGACGCAAAAACTACTGAACTGATTTGGATGAAATTTGGCATGCATATAGTTAATGACCTGGATTGAGACAAAGGATACTTTTTATCCCGAAAAAAATTTAGATTCCTGTTAGCGCGGACGAAGTATATAGTATAACAGCTGTGCCCCGCGGTGTTACCCGCGTTTTTTTAGGGATATTTTCCCGCAGTAAAACGTAGCTCATGTGTTAATCCAGGGTGTCAGCAAACTCAACTCCATACCAAATTTTATTAAAATCGCTCCAACAAACTTTCGCCTTTATAATAGTACTGTGATAGCTGATACGAACCAATTAATTGATGAGTGTTGTGTGGAATTTATTGAATTGTCTTATAGGTATAGACCAGGGGGCCATTCGCCTAAAGGAAATGCTTGGGAAAACGCTAACGCTTTCGATTTTATTTTGTTATTTCTGACCGCCGAAGGGAATACCTCATGCTCATTTTTTATAATATTGTTATTACCAATGCAAAAGAAAAAAAAAGAGCGCGAGGCATTTGAAAACCTCAGGCGGCTAGAAATAACAAAATGAAATCGTAAGCGTTAGCGTTTGCCAAAGCATTTCCGTTAGGCGAATGGCCCCCTGTACCCCTAGCACGAACCATTATCGAATTCGTATAGTTTGCAAACCGAAATGCCAATGTAAAATTTTGTATGGAAACTTGAACAGCAGTAGCTCAAAGTACGTAACGAGAACTAAAAATCAGTACACATTTGACAATGACATTTCGTACTCGCAAACGATACGAATTCGATATTGGTTCGTGCTAAGGGTACTGGTATAGATCTGTCAAGTGAAAAATTATTTATGCTTATTATGAAATTACCTCAGATTGCAATGTGGCCTCCAGTTCTTCATTCACCTTTTTCAGAGCTGCAATCTGTGAACAAATATTATTTCATAAGATTGATTGAATGAAAAGGAAAAAATAAGACAGGCAGGGCATAGCACATTTCCCGCTCCAAATTGGAGCGCCCGTATGGGGGAGTAATCTTCACCTTACAGAAGATCACAGTACAATAACCCTACCTTTTGGTGGTTAGGAATCCACGGGGTAGGGAATAAATAAATAAATAAATATTTCCCACACTCACACCTCACACCAATTAGCCTAGCCCCAAGTAAGCACTATAAGGCTTGTGTTATGGGATGCTAGGGTAACGGATAGAATACATATACCGTACATATATAAGCATATTTATATAAATACATATTAAACATCCATGACTGGAGTACAAATGCTCGTATTCATCACACAAACATCTGCCCCCACCGGGATTCGAACCCGGGACCTCTCGAGTCGGCGAAAGCCATGAAACCCGGCGTACAAACCACTCGGCCACGGAGGTCGTCAAGGTCGAGGGAATAGATTCAGGGCAGTGGTGGGGCAAGATCTAAATTTGATGTGGGCAAGACAGATTTCGCGAGGCCCTGTTCAGAGCCGACCTGAAGATGGATTTTATAAAATAATAAAAAAAAAGAAATTCGCTTTTAAGCAATGCATAAAAATTTTTGAGGCGCGAGGCCCCTTGTACCGCGAGGCCGTAGGCGGTGGCCCACGTCGCCCACGCCTTACGCCGCCTCTGGGTCAGGGTAGAAAACTGTGCGAGTGATAATTTTGATATCGCAAACGTCTATAGTCTTTGATGGGCTCGCTTTTGACAGAGAAAAGTCTCCTATCTTATGACCGAGGGCGACGAGCTTAATGGCCTTAGACAGTCTTGATATGCAATCACGAAAGCTAAGCAACTTTCAAAACGGTCAGTAATTGGATGGGGGATCAAAAACTTACTATCTCGAGCTTCTCCATGGGTAGGGGTATTTAATGATTGTGATTAGCGCAACTATTCAATTCAATTCATTTATTTCAGAACTAGGTTCCATAGTGTTAGTTACATTTGATTTACTTATAAATATGTTAGTTCAATAAAGAATTACATAAAATATTACTATTGGATATGAAGCTTCACCCAGTGTCGTAGCACAGGAGTGTCCCACCCACAGAACACAGAAAGATGTTAGAATGGCCTTGTGGGCGGGGCAGGCGCGCCACAGTTAGTTGTGAGCAAATGCTCATAACCTGACCAAAACTTGGCAACGATTGCTTTGTTGCGATGGGGTGTGAGCGCCGATTGGTTCAATTGTTTGATGTCACGGCGTTTGATTGGCTAATATCTATTAGGTGTAAGTGTAGTGCGGGCGAGCCGGCGACATCGGTTCCCGTACAAAAGGTCTCTGAAGACCCTTCTAACCTCTTTCTGTGTTCTGTGGTCCCACCGGTCATTAAATACTGTCAGGAGGCTGTTGGTACTAGAGCGGAGCCTAGTGAGCATGGCAGCGGACCTCTTTCTTATAATGGCATAAAGACTGATCTGACCTATTGGCTGCGCGCATATTGTGTGTTATAGAATCGAAGTATTGAAAGTTACAAACCTGTGTGAAAATTATGATTAGCTTAGTCAACTTGAATAAGGATTTTTTAGTCACAATCTTAACAGCACAGTGAACAATCGAATTAAGTATATCCATGGAGTGTATTTAGAAAAATTACGTAATACTGATCCAAATTAATTCTTAAACGCGGCGCCTTTGAAAATTTTGAAACAAGGAACAACACCACTGTGGGTTTTATAAGTGTAAGTAGATTCCTAGTTCCAAGATAGCTATTACGACAGAAAAGCATGCCGTCCTAATATTTATTTATGAATTAATCAATGATATATTGAATAAAACTAGTTTTTACGGGTTAATGCACGAAACTTTTTTTATTTATTGACGTTTCGTAGCCTTTACAGGCTACGTCGTCAGAATTAAACTTTTATTTTAAACGTCAATAAATAAATAAAGTTTCGTGCATTAACCCGTAAAAACTAGTTTTATTTAATGAGTGATGTGCGTGAAAACCTAAGAAACAAATAATGATATATTATATAAAATATTACTAAAAAATGTATTTTTAACCGACTTCTAAAAGAAGCGGGTTCTCAATTCATCGATATATTTTATTTATTCATCTCCGATGCGCGTGGACCGATTTTCATGTTTAATTTTTTGTCGTAATCTGTTTTTGGCGAGGTCCAATACTAATTTCGTAAAGATCTGATGATTGAACGGAATCGAGCTTAGGAGAGATCTCAGTTATAAGATAAAACAATTTTTGCCCGTTCAAAGACAGGGCGGATCACTAGTCTATATTAATAAAGTATAAGTCTTCGCTTTAATCAAAACACGCACAGTTCGTTAATTCAAACTTATGACAGGAAGAGCGTCACCAACCGCCGAAGCTTGCGCGTACGCATTTGCGAGTCGAATACATTTCACTCTGACCTATTGGCTGCGCGCATTTAAAATGATTCTGAATTTGAATTTCAAAACGGCGCGCTCCGATTGGCCGTCGCCATTGTGGCCGGTGACAAGACGGTTTTTCAGTGGTGAAGCTTACACCTCGTTTACACCGAGAAAAAGTTATATAATAATTTTAATACACAAAACTCGTACAATACTCGTTTTAAAAATTATTTCGTTTACACTGTATAGACGACAAGTATCTATACAAATATGAAGTACTTATTTACTTCACAAGTTTTGCTTTGTTTTGTTTAATGATATATGCCTTGGTTGTTAATGACCAAAGCATTCCAAGTATCATGAATGCAGTACGTTCTTCTTCTTCTTGCTACGGGCGTTTCCGCAACTCGATGTTCTTATGGCGCCTGTTTTGAGTGAGGAGGGTGTATGGCCGGAATCACTCCAGCCAGCACAGCTCCGCCAGGAAGGCCCCCAGGGCCTTCACATTGGTGACTGACTCTTGAAGGTTTCCTGGTGAGCCGAGGTATTTCGCCCGGTATTCGGCCACTCTGTTGAATTCCAGCAGAACGTGAGTAGCTGTTTCTTCTGCCTCCTCACATCCTCTGCATAGGGGGCTGTCCGTGACACCTAAGTTAAAAAGATGTCTGTTAAAATGTGCATGTCCAGTAATAGCACCTGTTACCATGCGCAATGTAGGTTTGCTTAGCTGTAGGAGAGTTGGAGAAGGCAGCGTTCACCCGTGGCAAAGCGAGCTTGGTCTGCCTGCACGTCTCCAGATCGAGCCAGTGTTGCTGGTGTAGTGCGGCAGTGTGCTCGCGGATTTTATTAACGAGACAGCTTACCGGTATCGGGACGATTGGTTCGGGACCTATTGGGGTCGTATCGGATCCCTTATGGGCCAGCTCATCTGCAGCGTCGTTTCCGCGTGATCCACTGTGTCCCTTGATCCATTGGATGGTAATAGAATTGCTTGACCCTCCCGTGTTTAAGGTTTGGTGGCATTCTTGTAGGAGGCTCGATTTGACTAAACAGGCATCTAGAGCTTGTAGGACTGATTTGCTGTCGGACAGTATTCGTATTTCCTGTCCTGTTTGTTACCTTTCTTGAAAGGATCGCTCTTGCCGCTAGTGTGATGCCTATACATGCAGTACGTTTTATTATCGCACAGTTCGCCGTATACAGTGAGTAACATTCTCATACTTTGGAACTATATTTGGTCCTTAGAGCATTATACCACTATGGTATATGCTCTAAGATTTGGTCGAGTAGCGCGCGTTTTCAGGGGCCTTCCCGGGTACGATTAAGCTGTGGAATGAGCTCCTTGTTGACATTTTCCCTAAGAAATACAGCACAAATTTCTTTAAGAGACAGTAAGTACTATTTGGCAGTCCATTCAATATAATTCAAAGCCTTCCATTTGGAGTTTATGGATAAAAGAGTTATTTTTTTGCATTGATGTGAAATCTAAACTTGAACAGCTGGTGCAGCCAATGATATTTTATAACTTTATCTATGTTAAGTTCATAGTAATTGCGTTTAAAATATGTTCCGAGTTCCAATCAAACTTTAAAATTACAAATGTTTTCTTGCGCATAGAGTAACATTTATTAGTCGGAGAGAGGACACTTGATTGAAAAGTAAGTAGGTACATACCTTAGATTAAAACAGAAAGGAAAGATACGGTACGCTCATACTAGCACAAGTTAAATATGCTCCGACTCAACTACATAAGCACACGCACACGTCTGTAAATAAACATTCAATGGAAAAGTTTCGTGATGTTGATAATGATATATTTAACTTAATAGTATTGAATTGAAATATAGATCGAAAGTAATATACCAGTGATTTTTTTTTTAAAATCCGTCAATAAATTATCAAGAAACACATTATTTAAGTTTACGTATTTTTGCGCGGAACGATTTGGACCTCTGACTAGGGCTGCCATCCGTCCGGGTTTAAAATTTTCCTGTTTTGGGTCGCCAATTAATCCGTCAATTTAAATTTAAATATCTTTGAAAATAAATAATAAATCTTTTCTCCCTCAAAGATCAGCTCTGTCGCTCAAGCTGTACGCAATAACAGCATTCGTTGCTATACGGATGACAGCACTGACACTTTTTACACGGGTCGGTCAAACATCCCTCGGATGGAACAAGAAGGGTATAAAGACACACTTGTGTCCGAGATTGAGATGTTACTGGATCAAGTCTCAAATTGGAGCCAACAAAATTTGATTGGATTAATCCAGCAAAGACAGAAGTGTGTGTGAAAAGGCTTGGGTGCTTTATAGATCTAGTAAGTACCTGAAGCCTAAACATCGGGTGTTACTTTACAAAGCACTGGTCCTCTGGGCTGGAGCACCCCAACACCAGCTCCTTCCTCTTGACCGGATACAATAGCGAACAGTTTAAATTATCGATGAACCAGAGCAGGGTTCTGGGCTCCAAAATCCGGAGGTTATCACGCGTCTTGTCCTGGTTGCCACGTTTTAGAGATGGCAGCCCTACCTCTGACTCGCCTCCGACGTCATTTTACCTTTAGCCGAGATCGTCGCACCAAAGAGCTTGC